CCCGCCACTCTGCCGCAGTCCCCCGCCACTCTGCCCACCGGACGTGTTGCAACAAACGGCCGCGCCTCGGGGTAATTTGACTCAACCAGCCCAGACTGATGACAAAGAGAACGATGGTCGTACCTGCTAAGAGCGAGGGCCGTACCAACTGAGAGCGAGGGCCGTACCTATCACCTAAGGGCGAGGACTGTACATACTGCCTAAGGGCGAGGGCCGTACTAACTGAGAGCGAGGGCCTAACCGAGAAGGGCGATGGCCAGCTAAGGAGTGCGAGAGCCTTACCAACTGAGGGAACAATGGCCTTACCAGCTGAGGGCGAGGGACGCACCAACTGAGAAGGGCAAGGACCGCATACCACCTAGTGCCCACTGCCTATACCACCTGAAGAGGGCGAGGGCCGAACCAATCAGGGAGGGGGCAGGGGCCGTACCTACCAGCTCAGGGCGAGAGCGAAGGCCGTACCAACGGAGGGCGAGGCCGCGGTAACTGTCAATGGTTGATCTCACCCACAACATAAACCAAAGACACAGTCCGTTTATCGCTAACTGACAAGCTCTCGAATGGCTTCAGTAGCCGAGTTATAAGGAACTGGAACGTCAGCAGTGGTGCCTGCGTGTCCTTCCTGTACTACCCAGCACTCTCGAGGCACCCACACAGCGGGTCAGGGCCGCTGGGTATGAGACTCTGAACTGAATGGGTTGGCCACTCGACATTAGGCTGGCCGCAGCCCCGGCTTTATTACCCACGGACTCACGGAGCGCCGCGGGGTGTCATACAGTCCGAGGCCAGGACAGGGCAGATAGACCGGGGCACTCCGCGGGGTGCCATTATTCAGTCCGAGCCCCGAGGCCAGGACAGGGCAGACAGACCAGGGCAGGTCGGCCGGGGTGCCATTATACAGTCCGAGGCCAGGACAGGGCAGACAGACCAGGGCAGGTCGGCCGGGGTGCCATTATACAGTCCGAGGCCAGGACAGGGCAGACAGACCAGGGCAGGTGGGCCGGGACCACCGACTTCCGCAGCGAGCACGACTCATTCAGAGGACGGGAATTGGTAGAGCAGAGTAGTGCGCAACACGGCGCGGTCTGAGATTCAAAGGACTAGGCACAGGAGACAATGCCTACCTCACGTCAGGAGCTAACTGGCCATCGATGAAGGCATTGTAGGAATACTTTTGTTACACATCGGGAGGCCTTTAGTTTAGAGTGCTGAGCTGAGCCACAACAGCTGGACTAGACGCAGACAATAAAGCCGTGTGGACGCCAATAGTAGAGCCGGTGGCCGCTGTTCCAAGCAGCGCGCATCCTTGAACTGTCGGAGGTAGCAGCGGCCCAGTACACGGACACGGAAAACAGCCCGACTCAAGGGCCTGAGGTGCTCCACCCAGGTCCTTTGTTGGACGGCCGGTCCTCGTTCATAGAAAAGTTGAACGTTTACGGCCAGGTGATCCCGCAGGTTTCCTGCTTTGATGTCAGTTTATAGCGGCCAGCTGCGGGGTATCGTACAAAGCGGACAGGCGTTTTATCGGCACGGTTACTGACCAGGCGATACATGGAGCACGTCATCGCGCTTCGCTACTGCACAGACAGAAATAGCCATAGACTGCACAACGCCATAGGCGACGACGACAACAGAGCAGACTTGAGGACGACACAGGCGTCTAAACGCGCCCCACAGCCAGCCGACTGTAACACCGATAACAGAAATAGGTATAGGTACCAAATGGTCACAAAGACGCGCCCAGCAGTCGTCACAGATTTACACCGACAAAGGACAAACGGACAGCACAGAGCCGCTGTAACAGGTGTGTATTGTGGTATAAATATGGCCTCTGCCACCCGGTCGGACACGGTGCGGGGGGGGGGATGCTCGGTATACTACGGCCTCTGGATCAGCCTCGGTCGCGGGCCGAGCCGGGCGCTGCGTGCGGAAGTACCGCGCACCGCTCAGTAGTAGTGCCCTTGGAGCGCCTCTTCCCCGCCCGTGTGTACCGTGACCTTCCGCGGCGCCGCGTCCGTCGGACCATCGGACATTGTGTAAATACAGACCGCAGGACGGCCACATGGGCGTAAAACACTCGCCCGATCACCCATGAGGCGGCCGCAATAGCGCGTGACCGGGAGCGCTGGGTACGCCGACCGGCCGGCCGGACCGCAGTGTTTTGGTCCGCGCTCCGGCCCGGTGAGTGTGTGTGTGTGTGTGTGTGTGTGTGTGTGTGTGTGTGTGTGTGTGTGTGTGTGTGTGTGTGTGTGTGTGTGTGTGTGTGTGTGTGTGTGTGTGTGTGTGTGTGTGCGTTACGCCACCGGCCGCGGTGCGCCAAGGCCAGTCAGGCCCGGCCGGTCCGGGTCCGACCGCCCGACACGGCGCCCGCTCGTGATCACGGCGCCAACCGCCGCTGACGGCTAGAGGTGCGGCTGTCTCCACTCTCCAGGGGGCGGCAGAGATGCGGCCGTGCCGTACCCCAGAGGACGGCGCCCTGACCCGACCTCCCCTGGCAGCTGACAGGCGGAGCCATGGGCTGCAGAGCAGAGGATAGCTCCTCAGGCGGGTCGAGGTCACCGGCCGCCACCACATGCACCTCAGACGTCCGCTGCAGTCAGCTTCTGTCGGTGCCGAGAGCGTCAGACATAAACCCGACGGCACAACCTACCAGGCCCGGGGTCAGACCTGTCTGGCATGAAAGCCAACCGATAATATCGCGGAATGGAAGCCCAGTCCAGCCAAGACGCCAGTAGAGCGGAGCACCAGTAAAGCTGACGCTCCGGCCGACTCGAAGCTCGAAAGAGGCGACACGCGCGCCTCAGCAGCCGACCAGAGCTGGCATTGGCAAGTAATGGGCTTATGGACGAACTTGCACACAACTGATTCAACTAACAGAACTGAAGGACAGAAGACGGTCATCTGCGGTTGATGTCGCTGCCACGTCCCCTACTGGTGGTCGGTGACGTCTCAGGTCGGTCGGTGACGTCACGGGTCGGTCGGTGACGCGCCGACTGTCGAGGTCGGCAGCTCGGCCCGGTGCCAGCAGCCTTCCGCCGGGCCGAGAGAGCGCGCTGCCGGGTGACCGGCCGGCCGCCGACCTTACGTCAGCTCCGAGAGGAGCGTCCTTACATCACCCGCCGCGCTGCTGTGCTGCAGGTCAGGATAGTATGAAATAATGTAACACAGGTCCACGGGTGCACCGCGGCGCCGTAACATGCACACGGCCTACGCACCGGCGGCGCTGGGTCGGGGCCCCGGTCCGTCTGGACACGAGGTCCCCGCGTGCACCGTCCCCCCGCGCCCGTTCAAACGGGCGTGTTTACCGGCCGCCAGAGTGGCGTGTCGATACGGCGCGGCGCCGTACGCAGCAGATGTGTGGATTTCGGTCTGCCGTACCCATCGCCGCGACCTTGGTCCACTTCTGCGGGAGCACGCACGTGGCGCCCGGCTCAGAGCGCCACAATCGGCGCATATCCGCCGCGGAGGGAAAATCATCGGTGACCTTAGCTGGGCCAGGGTACGATTATCTGTGATGTCGAGTGCGACCAAATCAAACCAGTCTGAGGTCCCACTGTTGCGCCTTCGTATGTAAGTACATTTTCCAAAGAAAAGGATGCTTCGTTTGGTTGTAAACATTAAGATTGGGGAGCTACAAGCATCAGATAATTCATTGGTCATCAACTTCCGAGAGAGTCCAATAAGTCGGACACTGGACTGTAATCGCACCCATCTGGGCCATTGCCATCACTAATCCCTGATGATGCCTACTGTCGTGGTCTGCCAGAGCTGCTGCCAGCACCGTGTTGCCGAGCCAGCCTCAGACCATCAGCCTGAGACCTCTCCCAGTCCCATCCGGAACATACCGCTGATAACCGAGTCCCTCGACCGGCCTCACCCAGCCGCCACTCCGGCGGTGCGCGGTGCACGCACCGGCCACACCGGGCCGCTGCGCGTGTGCAGACCGCCCGCGGCGGGCGCTGTTTGGCCGCGCCCCGCGCCCGGGAGAGGACGAGCACCCCACCCGCCGACCGACGCCGACGGCCGGCCAAGTTCAAGGCGACGGCTGTCAGAGGGCACGTTGCGCCACCGCCGCACCGCGCTGGGGAGGGGACCGGACGGCTCACGCACAGTCATTGTGCCGCACGAAGTGCCGCCGGCCGGCCGCACGCAACTGCTGCAGTTCAGCCCTCTTTGTTTGCCCAATAGCAGCCTACATGCGCGTACCTCATACGTTTCTCAGAGGTCTATGTAACAGGCACTGGGATGAAGCATTATTCAGGTTGGACACTGGGAGAAAGCACTCGAGTCCAACTCCCATGGACAAGTATACAACCCACTGAGCTCCCATCCGTCCGTCACCTACTGAGCTCAGTATCTGGATCCCACACCCGTCACTGAGGTAGCCCCATCCCTCCCCGCGAATCCCTCCAGCACCGATCACGCTCCGCCCCGCCCGCGCTGATCCGCTCTGAAGGCCGATCGTGCACGGTCGTGTCCTGGCAGCGCACTGCGCAGTGCCGCGGCCCGGCAACTGCCGATGGCCGCCAGTCCAGAGGCCGCCCACGCCGCCGGAGCAGCCGCCCACGGGGCCGAGCTGCGCCAAACACCCGGGGTGGAGCGCGTGTTCGGGGAGTGGCTCACCGTGTAGGTAGTGTCACAGGGCGGTACTGGATAGCGCCATAGCACGGCGGTTCGGGAACAAAGGAGACTCGAGTCTGTTGATGGCCTGGTCAGCGGAGAAGGCGGTGGCTTGGAATAGGAGAGGCGCTGGATGGTCGTGTTTGCAACTATTAGTAAAGTAATCCTGGTTTGCAACGGGCTTTTCGACTCCCAAATTTAACATAAATACCTGGGTAACTGGTTTTCACCAGTTCGCTTCAGAAGCATGACGAGATCCGCCTGCGAGCTGTGCTCGACCTTCGCCGTTGAGAAGGCATGGACTCCCGAATTGGTCGATCAGGTGGCCCGCTCACCGACGACCTTGCCTGGTTGGTGGCCACTGAAGTCTACAATCACGGTTCGTAGAAGTTTGTATTTAGTTCACAACTCATCAAAATATGACAACAATGAGACGAAAACATACACTGAGATCGCAGCTAGACAGTTTGCAGTGATTTAGATCCTGATGTGAAGGCCTTTCAACAAGGCCATACCCAGGAGAGAATCTGTCTCCTTTGGTCACCAAGCACCAGGAAAGTGAGGAAGACACCAAGGGAAAACGTGCATTACGCGACAAAACACGGAAACATGCTCCGAGAGTTTGAAAGTCGCACACAGGTCGACACGAGGAAAGACAACACTCAAACGACGATAAGCTTACCGAGATTAGAATTTCACAAAACAAGAGCATACCGCGGAAAACGATAACATGATAATGCGCTTCTGCCGCATTTGTCCCTGGTACCGTACCACAGTACAATAACATGGCTATTCGCAGTTGCCGCGCCTCTAAACCAGTTTGTCAACCGGTACTTGGGAAGAGCCGGCACCGCAAGTCACGGAGTCGTGCCCTGTGCCGCTCGGAAAACGGGCGGATCGCACGGCACTGAAAGAGACCGCCGATATTGCCCCGGCCATACGACAAAACATCGGCGCACTGCCCCGCACAAAGGCAGATTATAGTAATATCCACATAGCGTTCAATAACATATTGCCACCATTACCATAGCACGACGATCATTGTAGGTCAGGAAGGTCTAACAAAAATACTGGAATACAACACCACGATCACGATCATGGAATCAGATCGGCGACTGCTGACAATTTGATCGGACAGCGGCGCGCAGCAGGCCGATCGTATTCAAACACACGCGATATATATCACAGTCGAGACTACCGGCAGCACTGCAGGCTCCCACAGGCGGCACACCCGGCACCACTCTCCTCTGAACGGCTCGATACTCTCCCTTCCACCGAACTGCCTGTAACCCTGCACATCTAGCACCAATCTCCTCTCACCAGTCTAACGAACACTTTTCCTCTCATCTCACTGCCCGTGACTGTCCGAGTGAAACGTCTCCCTCACCCCTCAAAAGTCTCCCCAATCCCTCATACGAGTGTCCTGTCTCCTCACGGAGCCGACTCGTCTCTATGGCAGGCACACATCCGGCGGTACCCTGTCGGCCACAAGGGGCGCCCGGCGCCGGCCGCTGTCTGCCGCTGCCGGCGCGGTGAGCGTTCGGCCGCCCCTCCGATCGCCGGCGGACGGATACCCCGCTCCCGGGGCCAGGGTGGCATCGATCAGAGGGGACAGGGGCCCCTCTGGAGATCGCTCCTCCCCCCAGCGACGCCCGGTGCCGACACAAACAGGCCGGGGGAGGGCAGATGATGGGGGCAGGTGCAGACCAGCTGACTAGGGACCAGAGAATCAGCTGGCGGGACCAGAGGACCAGCTGATGGGACCAGAGGACCAGCTGATGGGACCAAAGGAAGTTAGCGAGCGACGAGAGTGGAAAATAGTTGTCATTGCATCTTAGCCAATCACTGGCTAGGACCAGCCCAGTGGACCGACGGACCAGCCGATGGGACCATCACGGACCGACTTGCGACCCAATCCGGACAGCCGTTTCGGACTAGGACCACCGGGAAAGCGAATTAAATGGCGACACATGATTTGTAGGATACTGCTGGTTCGATATCGCATAACTGCGTAATTTTTTTCAATAATCATGACGTGTAAAGCGTAGCTCGCAAAACAAATCCTTTCCTCAATATATTTTGCCACCCAAAAAGGTTTTGTAAGTTCGTTGAATTCCGTAGTGCACGTTAATTTTAATTCGGAGCTGAAAACCTCGCAACTTTTTCATAGATGAATTCGATCGCAATAGGGAAAATAATGTTAATGATAAACCATAACCGACTATGAATAAATATCGCCAATTTCCCAATAAGGAACAACAGGCCGTTACACACGGATTGTGGCTTGGCCGGGGAGACAGGTCGAGGCTCGGTCGGGTCGACTGGTGGGGTCTGTGGCGCTGCGGCCCGGTCGGGTCGGGACGGGGTACAGCGGGAGCCACTGGCGAGGAGGGGAGGCGGGCTCGGGACTGACCGGAAGGCGCCGCTACGACAGCTCGAAGCCGGTGTTGTTGCGGATGGCGTAGCGCAGCTTGTCGCGCAGGGTGGCCTTCTTCTGGTAGTTGGGCAGCTTGAGCAGGTTGAAGCAGGTGGACGATGTGGGCAGCCGGGTGACCGGGTCGCGGCGGCGCACAGACAGGAAGCCGCGCAGCATCGAGCCTGCCGCCGCGCACAGACAGACACACGGTGAGACGACAGATCAGGGACGACAGGGAGCACGGACTGGGGAGGAGACAGCGGGGGCGGACACAGACGGGCAGTCAGTGAACCGACCGGGAAGCGTACAACACGAGATGGCGACACGGACGGACGGATACGCGGTCCGTGGGACGATAAACGGAGTGATAACACTAAACATGCAGTGATAGTTCATTTGGGGCAGATGCATTACCACTGGTCAGCTACGTAGCAAAAGGTGGCAAGCTGAGGCTGCACCGTGGGAATAAACAAACGGTGTTCACTCGATGTCAGGTAAACTGCCATCCGACACTGTATATTCCGTCATGAAAGCCGCTACACCCCGGCCGCGAGTGTTTGCTATTTCTGCGTGGCGGTGTGTTATGCCCGGCCGTCTGACCCCGATTTCAGGGGCGCCCGGTACGTGTGCTGTATATCAGTCCGCTCGGCGTCAGCTGACACTGACTCTGGTGGTTCACACGCACCCCAGCACCGGTCGGCGATTGTTTAACTCGCGTTTGCTGAGGAAGGATTCCAGATAGTTCACGTCATCTGCACTCTGACGCGCTGATGTACCCAGGCGGTCGCCCAACGTCATAGCATGAAGTGGGGCGCGTTTTTGTGCTGCCACTACCGACAACATGACCCGCGAGCACCGACTATGGGGCTTCTGACGCACTTTTTGCCGAAATTACTGACGACAATGACACTTTCTAAGCCATCTACAAACAGTAATAAAAACGTACCGCAAAAAAGACTACGGCTGATTCATCTCTACTTCAGATTTAGGGCAAAACTATTGACCCGCTGGAGAACTTACATCAATCGTAACCTTTGTCCGATATCGTAAGAAGCTGTCTTAGTAGCCAGGTGTAACACAAGATAAACATTGACATTGTATGGTAGTGTTCGGTAATTACATAACCATAAGAATGGAGCCAAGGCTTCTATTGCTCTCCGAGTGAATCTGAAGAAACGGTGCACCTCTGCCTCTAGAGCCGCTCAGACGATCTGCCGTCCGAGATACACGTTCATAAGGCACGCTGACGACACACTGCAGGTGAAATGCACCATTAGCGGGGAACGGGAGCTGCTGCGTGGGCGACACCATCCAGACAGTGGCGCTGCGAAGAATCCCACCTACTAGCCGCGTATGATAGTCCTCAGAACAACTGCGTCACCGGGTGACCCACGTCACCGCCACGTCACTGCCGCGTGACACACGTCACGTCCAGCGTCATCGGCGCGTCGTGGCCGCCGTGACGTACCGGGATCCCGGCCGGCCGTGAGACGCGGCCCTGAATTACCCGTACATACAGCGAGGGGCCCAATCAACGTCCCGCGACCCGCCGCATAAGGCCTGAGTGACGTCACAGCAGGGGGCCAGCGCGGCGGTAACGAGGCGCCCCTGTTGTGACCTTGTCGGTCCAATGCCACAGCTCAGTGTACGGCCAGGTTCCAGGTCCGGCTGATTGGGCCGGGAAGGCCCGGCTGATTGGGCCGGGAGTGAGCTCCCGTGTACAGTTACACCCCAGCGCTCCCTCGTCAGGTGAGAGGGCGGCAGTCGTGAACAGCACCGCTCACGGAACTCGAGCCGACGGTTGGTGCAGGGTTTTCGATACGATGCAGTTAATGAGTGATGACCACGGCTCACGACACTGCCCGTGAGCAGTGGTCCAGCTGACAGCGTTCTACTGGTGTTCAGAACGGCTAGTTTATATTCGACGCTGGTGAGGCGACTGTGTGGTGTGCGGTTGAAGTTTTTATATCTGTGCCTGGGATTATCCCCAATAAAAATAAGGTGATATTCGGAACATCGGTCAGCAAGAAGCAAACATAACAAAGACAGTGACGTCAAACACGATCTAACAGGATCTGAGAAACGAGGACGGAACAAAATAATAATCGCAGCAATCGCTACTGCGTCGACGGATAGCAGGACAAAGAACAGGGCATTGGGGCTGGCTGGTGGCCAAATGAAAACAAACAGGTCTCAGAGGATGATTAATGCCGGCATGACCGATAACAAAATCATCAATATTCCCCAACCACCAACTGACTCCTCCATGAGCAATTCAAAAAGAAGTCAGAAGGGCGAGCGGCGTCCCAGCGCGGACCCAGAAGCTCCACCGAGGCACAGCCTCGCCGCCGCCGTCGGAGGCTGGTGTCGGTCGATCCGATGACTCACGGACGCGCCCCGGCCGCTGCGTCACCGGCTGTGCGGGCGTCACGCCACCGCCTGTCGTGACGGATCACGGAGTGCCGGCCCGCCGCACGGCGCCGCGCCGTCTGGGGCGGCCACAGCTGCTGCCCCAGCCGCGGCCCGCCGACCCGGCCCCGTACCGCGGTACACTGTCAGCACCGGGCGACCCGACCCCGACCCCGACCGTGGACAGGTGCTCCCGGCGGCCCCCCCCCCCCTGGCCAGCTGACCAGCTTCCACAGAGAACTAACAGACCCCGTGAACGGCGTGACGAAAATAGGACCGGCCCCACCGACCCGGCCGGTACAGAAACTGCGCGCTACCGCAGCGGTCTGCGGAGAACCGGCGAGTTCCGAGCGGCGCACCGCCTCTCGGAACAGCGCTGTGAGCTGTCGTCCGCCGTTAGAGCGATCGCGCCGGAGCTGTAGGTACAGCGGACAGTATCGCGCTCCAATCGGCAGTAAACGGACCGCACGGCGCCCGCCGAGTATCGGTAATCGTGGCGAGCACAAACCGAACAGGACTGTCGATGAAGTGAGCGTCATACCTCCGTATGTCTCCGCTCACCTATCGTATCTCCGTGTGTCTCCGCTCACCTATCGTATCTCCGTGTGTCTCCGCTCACTTATCGTATCTCCGTATGTCTCCGCTCACCTATCGTATCTCCCGTGTCGTCGTCGTCGCCGACCTCGACACAGCGAATGGAGAAGGGCGGCTCCAGATGGGCGAACCCCATCAGCGGTGGCTTGGAGCAGGAGGTGACGAACTGGGGAACACAAACACTCGGTCAGTCACACGCAGACAGACACAGGCCGGGTGTGGAGACCGCAGTCAGCTGCCCGGGCTGGCAGCGGCCACTGCACACCACTGCGTCTGTTGAACTCTGTGGGTTACTACGTCGTACCAAGCGCGACTTTTGACGACGAACCTACTAGTTACGACACATTTGCAACGACAAAAAGATATAAACAGACGCATTAAAGAAACTGGGCTATGTCGCATTCATAACCCAAAAATGTTTTCAAGTCAGAAAATGACAGTCAAAACAATCGACAGTCGTAAAAAAATGATACTGACTGCAGCCCTAAATACGGGCGCCGCTCGCTATCCACAGACCACGGTGTCGCGCAGGAGGGTCGCACCTTGAGGAACATCTTCTTCTCCTCCTGCGTGAAGTCCTTGTCGAGAACGTCCCAGAACCAGACGACCACGCGGTGCCGGTCGTGGAAGCCGCCGTAGTACTGGGTGTACTTCCTCAGCTCGCGCACGTCCAGGTCCACGTTGTCGCCGGCAATCAGCCGCTGCAGCTGCGGGCGGGCGGAACGGGTGAAACGGTCAGTAGGGGAGGACGGGGTAAAAAGGTCGGTAAGGTAAGCCATGAGGAGTAAATAGTCCTCAGGACGTGGGGCTGGCCGTTGACGTGACTCAGGGATTACACTGTGCCATCGATTCCGGGGACACTGTGCATCCGAGAAGTAAACGAACAAGTCATGGGCCAGCGCCCACGGATATAACGCACACAAAGATCGATTACAGTGCACGGGTTATGCATCACAGTTCGAGGGAGCGCCAGCCAGCCAAAACGACCCAGCGTTCCCCGCCCCACCGTCAGACCCAGCATCTGACTTCAGCGACCACCGTCAGAGTAGCCCCAGGCTCTACTGGCCTTAACTAGCGGCGGCTCAACAAAGACGGGAACGGGCGAGTTCCAACCATGCTCCAATGCCGGAGAAAATCGGCCGATTGGAGTTAGGTTGCAAGAAGTCATGATTTTAATCACCAATCAGCCTTTTCTCCCAGCCACAAGCCTTCATGAGTAGCTTGAGCCGAGATTCTCACGAATGAAGGCCATTGCTGTCCGGTTTTCCGAGCTGAGCGTGCTTACTGCGCATCTGACCGCCGTCATGTGATGTGCTGGCGTCACGCTGACTGACGTTAGCAGTTATCCTTAATCGGCGGAACATCACCTCACATCAGTAGTAGTCTAACTTACGGAGAAGCGTCATTTACCGGCAGTATTTCATACCACCCTTGTGGCGCAGTTGGCAAGTGCGTTCACGTTTGGTGTGGGAGGTCTTTGGATCAAAGCTGACCTCTGGCGGCGTTTTCCTCGGCCGGCTCCTACCCAGGAGATGGCAGTAACTGGGGAGTGTTCGCTCGGTCGTGGGATTACCGCTGTGCCAGCCAGCGCCCCCGGCCGCAGGTACACGGGCCTGATCCGCCTTTAAACAGATCCTTCGGTCCGGTGACATGTCCCGAGGGCACGGCCTCGCTTCATGTCCCGGAGCAGCCCTCTGACCTGCCGGGCCCGAGAAATCGGGATAGCCCCAGCGTGCGCACCAGTGCGGTGCCACCTGGGGTGCGTGAAAGGAAGCGTGCGGTCAAGGCTGTCCCGCGTAGCGGGTGCCGAAAACGATTCGTACCACTGCCGTGTATATGTTGCGGGCCAAGTGCGAAGGCTAGTCCATTCGCGAATGGCCTAGTCCAAGTGCGATAACGCACTTGGACTAGGCCGTTTGCGAATGGACTAGTCCATGTGCGTTATTGCAGTTGGCCTAGGCCGTTTGCGAATGGACGGGCGTTTATGCTCCCAGTCCAAGTGCGAAGTCAGGCCAAGTGCGAAATATCCAGCAAAGTGACGTCAACTTGGCAAGTCAACTTGGCATGTGCAAAGTCCCGTGTGAAATCATGCGTGCAAAGTATTGGTAACTCAACCGGAAAATGTTTACACAGTCATGCTGAGGTCGCCCCTTCTTTACCTCACACCATCCTTGCGTTCACCCCTTGGAATTTAAGGGATGCGGAGCCGTGGAAATTTCAGACGGCTCCGGCTCCGGCTCCGGCTCCGGAGAAAAAAATCGGCTCCGGCTCCGGCTCCGGCTCCGGGTGAAATGTCATGGCGGCTCCGGCTCCGGCTCCGGCTCCGAGTAAAATGATCCGGCTCCGGCGGCTCCGGCTCCGGCGGCTCCGGCTCCGGCTTCTACCCAGTACATCCCCTATGAGATCAATTAAATACGGGTGGAAGAAAAAAGGCGATGGGATTGGTACACGTTGCTTCTGTATTTGTATAACAAGGCTACTTTGAATACCACATTGTTTTACGCCTTGTACTGTCAAACCGAACTAGGTAAATAATTGTTTCCTGTTCTACTGTTATCTATGTTTCCTCTTAACCTTCGCCCTGGTGGGGGGGGGGGGGCCATTTTGGCCCCCCCCTGTGGTTTTTCAGCGATAACTCAGAAACCACTTGAGTTAGCGCCCTGAAACTTTGTATAGCTGTTTATTCAACATTTTTACATCATGTCCTTTTTTGGGGGGTTCGGGTCAGGTCAGGTCAGGTCACAAGGTCACCAAAACTGACACCACCTCTAAAAAAGTTCAAAGCTCTCTCAAAGGCACAGCTTTTATCCGATCGATGTAAAATTTACAGTACTTGAAGATGTCACCCAGCTCTACAAAATGGCTATCTCGGATTTTTTATAAATGTGACCTAAGGTCAGGTCAGGTCATCGCTGCTCCCCATTATAAGTCAATGGGAGAATCGAAAAGTAGTTGTTTTTCAGCTAAATCGGGCGTGATTGTTCCTATATTTCGTTATTGAAGTGTCTTGGGTCAGCAAATCACAGCCCATGTGAAACCATTTGCTTGTGACCTCGCTGAGGTCACGCTAGGTCATCTCCCTGGTCACCAGAGGTCACCAGCGGTTTTTCTGCACTTACTTGTTATTGAATAGAGATAGAGACTCCGTTCGACGTTTATCGTGTTTGTCTCGTCAATGCGGATCGAATGATATGCAGCATGACCTATTTCGGTAAGGTCATGACCTTGACCTGAGGTCAAATTTTCAAAATGACCTTTCGAGGTCAAACTATATATCATTCGACGCGTCTCGACGAGCCAAGCACGATGGTGCATGAATCGTTTCTCTATTTTCTCGTGAATGCATGCTATAGTTAAAAACATTTTCAACGAAATTTGCCAAGTTGACCTTGCATGACCTCTGTAGGCCAAACCGTTGAGCTGAGGTCAAATCTGACGAACCTTGGCGAAAGAGCTTGAAAAGAGCTATCGATTGCTTTTTTCCGCGGCTCTCTAGCTCTTCTAGTTTCCGAGCTACAGCGGAATATGTCCGGCAACACCGAAAACACTGAAATTTGACCTATGATGACCTCTAGCGACCTCAATATTGACCTTAGCGAAAAAATGACCGAAATACTTTCGAACGTACTTGTTATGGGCTTTCGTTTGCTTTTTTCCGCGTCTTCCTAGCCCTCTTCGTTTTCGAGTTAGACGGGGGGGGTCATTTTGGCCCCCCCCCACCAGGGCGAAGGTGGCTCAGACCCACACCAGGGCGCGGGTTAAGAAAAGGAGCCGGAGTCGCCCCCTTTTTTGACGGCTCCGGCTCCGGCTCCGGCTCCGGGCTATATTGTTTCACGGCTCCGGCTCCGGCTCCGGCTCCGGGCAAAATATGCCGGCTCCGGCGGCTCCGGCTCCGGCCCCGACTCCGGCTCCGCATCCCTGCTTGGAAACATTGTCTGACGATGAATTTCATGAGCCTTGCAATGTAATGGTGAAGTGAAACAAACTCAACTCAAGAACACACTGATCCAGTGCGACACTTATTTACCCGTACTCACGGAACCCATGTTTTTAAGTGAATTAGGGTTCGAGTGGCTCTGTTTTATCGGCTGAGAATAAAAAAGTATCGGAAATTACGGTAAGCAGGCTGTAATTGCACTAATCCTTTGTTTCACTGATCGGATCAGTGAAATAAAGGATTAGTGCGATTACAGCCTGCTTTCCGTAATTTCCGATACTTTTTTATTCTCAGCCGATAAAACGAAGGCATTTCGAACCCTAATCCACTTAAAAACATGGGTTCCGTGAGTACGGGTCGGAATTACAACCCTAATCCTCCCGTAATCCGCTATGTCTCAAAGTGCCCATGGAAACCGGGTCAGTGTCACCCTTACTACATCCTGAAAGTTTCATATCGATTGCTCAACAGCTGTAGCTTTGGTGCAAGTGCAAACTTTTTCGGAGGTGGCGTCACTTAACCTGGCCTGGTGACCTGACCTTAGGTCATCTGGAGTCAGCATTTTCACACAATGTGCGGAGAATATGGGAGAAAAGGTATACAAAATTTGGCTTTGCTGGGCGCCGCCGTTTTCTCGTGATCTGTGAAAAACCACAGGGGGTTGAAAACAACCCCCCCCCCTGCAGTGCGCGTATTGTTAAATGCAATGCAACACAACAGTTTTTCGAACACTCACCGCACCGCACTCACCACACACAAGCCGCACCGTCCCGGTACACCACACCAGAGCAGAATGAATCGAGCGCCACAAACTCGACCAAGGTCAGGTCGGGTCATCAGCGGGGAGCCCGGAGCACGGTACTAACGGTCTCCGCACACCACGCGACTCTCCGCTGTTCGAAGGTCACGGGGATATTTGACCTCCCCAGATCCAGATCGGTGGCCGAAACCTGGCCAGCGGCAACACGTTGCTATAATTTCCGCGTTGTGCAGGGTTCAGCGGAAAGTCGCATCCCGAATGAAACAGGTGTGTGGAGACCTTAACCCAGAGTTGCGCCAGCTCGCAGATCTGCTCCGGAGAACAAACTAAACATATAGACGCAGTGGCGTCGCCACGGATTTTCGACTAGGGGATCTGGTCGGACGGTCAGTCAAAGTAATCCCCACCAAATACTGAAAACTCCTCGGATTTAGACAATTTTATTTTGAGACTGCACCAAAATCGTTTTTAAAATATTTTATTTTATTCTTGATCGATTTTCGTGGCCAAAAGTGTGTGTGTGTGGGGGGGGGGGGGGAGGGGGGGGGGGGGCGTCGGACCGGCATATTTTCAAGAATGTGTGTGTGTGTGTGGGGGGGGGGGGTCCGGACCCCTCCGACCCCCCCCCCCGTCGGCGACGCCCCTGCATCGACCAGCGGTCCCCCATTCATTCGGAATCGTACCCCAATCCGAGGATCCATGCTTCCGGCGGCTAAGTGCAACGCCACAAACCCGTCCGTTCGCAAACGGCCTAGGCCATTCGCGAATGGCCGGCCATTCGCAAACGGACTAGTCCGTTTGCAAACGGACCGCCATTCGCAAACGGCCTAGTCCATTCGCGAATGGACTAGTCCGTTCGCAAACGGACTAGCCTTCGCACTTGGCCCGTAACATATATAGTGTACTAACCCAGTATGAATGTGTGCTACTAACGACAAAAGCCCGGGTCGGGCAACAAAAATATTTAAAAAAACGGCAGTATTTCATCAGATGGCGTCAGTCGTACATTATCTAACAGCAACAGACACAGCAGCACAACGGTTGACTCAACAATGACAGAAGCACATCCTCTGCGCCCGACGTCACGTCAGCAGCCGACGTCGTCAGATGGTCGCCAGCCAGTGATTGGCATTGAACGTGTGTACGGCGCAGTGTAGCTCTCACGACAGCCACCGCTCCGAAATACCGCAAACCGGTGTCCCACACCTGCTACACCACTTACTGGAATAATACCAAAAAGACTGAGGGTTTCTGAAAACCGCCGAGCTAAAATGTGACACTGCGGTTCAGACCGGCAATAAAATAAAACTCGGGAACATCAGCACGCCACATGGCAGCAAGTAGGGCAATGAGTGCCCGGCGTCGGATGGATATGATGTACGAATGGGGGGGGGGGGGGGGAGTGGAGGGACACAGGACCCGGTGAACGGAGGGGGGGGGGCACAGGATCGGGGCCGCCGCAGACCCATCCACCGATCGCGCATCGCGTCTCTGACGGCGCGGCACGGACCAGGTGAACCTCGGCAGGAGCGGACAGCGCCGTTCGTCACCACGGCGGGTCTGTCCGTCACCACAGCGGGTCTGTCCGTCAGCGGGGACGGCCGACACGGCGGCGGCAGCCGGACCCGCAGGTAAGGACGGGAGTCGTAGGGAGGTGATACACGAGCAGGCGTGGCGCGCAGCATCCCGGCGGACGGTGGGGACACGCGAGCCGACACGTCGCCAGCTGAGACGCGGCGGGAGGTACAGCCCCGTGGAGACGGACAGGACTGGGAGAGGTGCCCCGTGGAGACGGAGAGGACCGGGAGAGGTGTCCGGTGTCGGCACCGCGGCACGGCAGCGGCAAGGCGGCCGGACAAACACGGACGGCCGTGGACGGCGGACATCTCGTACCGCTCAGCTCTGTCCGTATCAGCCGGACGGAGACCGACCAGCAGGGCCGAAAGAACCACCGAGTAAGGACACGGCCACTCGGTCCGACCGGCCCACAAATCACCGCTGACGGCGCGCCGGCCGAGCGACACGGCACCGACACCAGACACAGCAGAGCGTGTCAGTGTCAACTGGCGCGTGTCACCACCCGCAGCGCGGTGTCAGAGGGCCCGGGCGCGCCATCAGCCACCGCCGCTCGCCAGAGCCGCGTCTGTGCAGTGTGTGCCTGCACAGGAGCTGCGGGGAGCGCCCACAGCGAGACGGTGCAGGGCTGCTGGGCAGAGGTTACTGACATCGGGGCGGTTCGCAGCAGTGAGGGGACGGATAGAGACACACGGACTGCGCGCGAGAGGTCAGCGAACCACAGCAGCCGCCAGCAAACGGTTAACAATGACCAGCAGTGAAGCGCTGAAAGAACGACTAACTGAGCTATTCATATCACTCCCCTATTGCAGGGCCGACGATCCGTGTCCGCGATCACGATTGATTAGACATTTCTAAACGAGCACAAGCTGTAAAAACCCGTACCCAGTGGTAAGTACTAGCCGTGGTGCAATGAGTAGGATCAGATGATAATTGTACGGTGCATGAAGTAAAACATCGCTGGCAAATTTTTGCAGCTCGGCTGTTAGACTGCTGTTGACTGTGGTTCTTTGACTCTGTTTGAGACAGCAAACGACGGCGGACCTATTTGCCATTGCACGGGCGTAGTATACAGCCAGTCCATTGGAATCATACGCACCTAACACCGGTCAAATTATGCCCACGTAACACCGCCCGGTCGTATGCATAACCACGATATTTATACCAGCGAACTGCGGCGGCGGATACCCAATATCCATGCTACGTTACACCCGCCAGCACATGGCGTCGTAGTCCCGCGGCTCGTAACTCGGCAGGGCCGGCCGGTCGGCAGAGCGGTCGGACCCAGTGACCTACGCTGCATAATGGGCCGGCCGGTGAGCCGCGCGCATCACTGCCAAACGGGGCGGGCGGCCGAGCCGTGCATGCAGCGATCTTGCACGCCGGATCTACACGGCGGATTATACGGGAATTTACACTGGACGGAGCCAAGGAAGAGTCGCAGCAGCTGGGCGACGAAATGACCGGGTAAAATATCCGTAATCAGATGACACAGGTTTCATGACAAACCGAGCCGAGATTACATACAGCTGAGAACGGGTTTAGCTCGGCCTGGACATCGTAGCTCCTCAGGTGGTGCCAGTCCTGCACGAAAGACGACGAGCGTCATATTATCAAAGGCAGTTTCACCAGCTGATGGTGCTAGCAAAAGAGCATGTGTTGACTCTTACACTGACAAGTGACAACCAATCGATAAGAGGCACATACAAGAAGTAAACGTCTGCATTAAATTGTCAACTCATGTTCTAACGCACAAAACTGACAGCTACACCCAAAAACATCCCTCGAGCCGCAGTTCTAAGTGCTTGCGGCTTGTTATCGTCCAAAACCGCCTCTTGACCGACAAACCAGCTCTGTCGCGGACGTCGCGTCCGTTTCTGTGGAAAACTACGCGCAGGCGGGCCGGCCGTGCGGGTGGCGTCTCGCGCTCCAAGGTAAACAGGGGTGGCGGAGCAGCCGCGGCGGCGCCGGCCGGCCGCGGACCCCTGTCCCCTGCCCCCGGGCCACCCTGGCGGTTCGGCCACCGGCCGCTGGCGGCGCCAATCTCGGCGGCACGCAGCGCCCGGCCGCAGCGCGGTCGATCCCGGGCGGCGTCGGGCGGTGTCGACTGCCGACGTACGCAGCTGGCGCCTCAAGGCCGCGCCACTGACCGGCCGACCCGGCTGGCAACAGCTCCCCGGTCTGACCGGAGTGTCTGAGCCACGGCCCGAGAGCCGACTGCGGGGACGGATAGCTCGGCACAACACATCCCTGCTATACCAGAGGATTAGCGGGTTTCACAACGTGTGGTCGTGACTGGTGGATATCACGGCAATGACGGGTTTCCAGCTTAACGACAACACGTCCTCAAAATAGACTACCGCACCCATATAACCAAAACAGTCACAGGTTCCACAACCCACATCATTCCTGTTCCCAGTACTTTCGTCAATAACTCTAACATCAAAGGCGGAGCACGCCGCACTGTAAATAAGCCCGCCTCCTCACACCACGACCTCTGAGTGGGCCGTATTCTGCCGCACCAAAACATCATTATCTCCGCGCCGAGGGCCGTTCAAAACAGCCCTGAGGCGGCCGCGGTGAGAGCTCCTCACGGGGGTGGAGCGGTGGACGGGGTTATATGGCCCCGGGGGTCTGCCGTGAGCCCTCCCTCACGGGGGTGGAGCGGTGGACAGCGATATATGGCCGGGGGTCTTTCGTCGCCGTCCGCGGGTGCGAGGGGTGTCTGCGTCACGATCACGCCGCAGACGGCAATATTGGCGCAGCCGCACCGAGTCAGTGAACCCGGGGTGCGGACGCCGCAAATACACCTGCCGGGGCGGGTCCACACATCTGCTGCAGGGCAGGTACGGCGCACAGAGAGACGCACCAGCTGTGATAATAGAGATAGGAGCCGTGCCGCCGCTCCCCGGCCAGCCGAACCTGCATGGAGACCAGGCCAGGCCGACAGACCAGACCACTGGAACAAACCAACGAACCAGACCGGCGGAAAAGACCAGCGAAGAATAAGTAGTTCGCATGTTCAAAAGTCGGGCTGGGTACTTACATTAAAACATGCCGAACTAAATATGAAACTTCCCCTCAAAAGCACACAAAAGTTGCGCGTGTGTGGCGCGATTCGGTGGCTAGCGACAGTACCGTTCACATTGTACGTGCCCGGTGCCGCGATGTTAGGTGCAGCTGTACCATATTCACCATGGCACCAACTGCACTGCGTATGGTTTGGTCGAACAAACATCATTGCTGGGCAGAGGTCGACTTCTCCAGGATTAATGGAATATTCCACACATACACACTGGAATACTGCGCTGGACAGTTGCAACGGGACCCTGATTGCATAACGTGATGCGCCGTTTGGTGACATCATGGGGCCCACAGGGCACAGAGACATGGCTACTGTCGACCAAACTAAATATCTGGAGATCAGACAGCCGGAGCAGTTTTATCCCCTCATCGAAATCTTTCTCTTCTTTGATTCATTTCCTCCTTTATTCTTCTGTTAGAAGGCTATGACGCAAAGTATTATCGACACATAAGTGACCATCGTAAAGATACGCACATGCAAAATATTCGATCTATTAGGTATATGTAGAATATGCTGTATCCTGATTCCCGTATAGTGTGGATTTATGGTTCCTTGCCTGTAGTCCTCAAGAAAGGGACTCTGTAAGTACTGCGGCACTGCCCTTGAGCTGCGCAGTGCGCATGTCACTTATATTCTAGTTTTGTCTATGCATGAGCACGATTCCAGATTTGATGAGTCTGCCGTGCTTGAGCCCGAGGCTACCCCGATCGCCCCCGTCTCAGCAGAGACGGACCGGCGTCAGATGTTCCCAGTTCTTCTGAACTCGGTATCATTTACCCTGCCGCTGAGACCATTCGTCCCGGACCGAGCCAGGAGGCAGCTGCACCTTTCTCACAGGATATGAGCGATTAACTCCGAGTTCAGAGCAGAGCTCACATTCCGAGCCAGCGCAGCAGGCAGACCCCGCGGGAGCTGACAAAACACATTCCAGTCACAGCGACCGGCGACATGTCCCCAGTGAATGTCCAGAGCGGCTCCTTCGGTCATGGAAAACCGAAAATGGGGGGAGACCTAATCGTCGTCTGGAATGCCACCAATGGATCAGGTATTTGATCGACCAATTTTTTTTCCAGATCAAACGGATCATTTGCTCGAGTGCCTTAAGTGTTGCGACTTCGACTTGTTTTGTTCTGACATGCAGTCTGCGATAGCTTAGCAAACCCGCGTCCAGTACCATCTGTCGGCAGTTTATCGAGCCCAGCATGCGCGGCCGCTCCGCGGGGCGGCGCCACAACTGACCTCTGGCGGTGAGAACATCTGCAGCCACTCCGGCCGGACCAGCGCGCGGAAGCCGCGGATGAACGCCGCCGTCTGCTCCTTGATCTGCGTCTGCATCCGGAAATGGGCCAGGTGGTACACGTACTGGATCCTGGGAGTACAGGCGGCGAGTCAGAGACGGAAATGGGCCAGGTGGTACACGTACTGGATCCTGGAAACGCAACAGCGTCACGGACGATATCAGACAAAATAAAGTCAGAAGGGAGGAACCTCGAACAATGTCAACAACCTTGAATAACCTTGCACCAATCATTGTTCCTTCTCTAGCCCCGATGACTCTCACAGAGCACAGGAACTGACTTAGCAGCCAGAATTACAAATACCGCACCAGCCGCAGCCGCCGCTGCTCAACCCGGTGCAGCAGCGGTGTGCTCACTTGTTCTCGTTGGTGACGGGTATGACGCGTCCGCCCGGGATGAGGTCGTGAGTGACCAGCTGGCCCATCACGTCCTGGTCGTACGAGAACGTCAGCCCCAGGTCCTGCACATCGCCGTCGTACCGCTGAGGGGACCGGGGAGGGGGGGGGGGGCGGCGGTCAGCGACACAGTCGTGTGCGTGACAGCCGCTGTGTTATCAGTCCGACATCTGACGGCTGTATAAACGGCGGCTCTGTGCCCGCAGCCAAGGAGGGCCGGTGGCGGCCTGCCGAGACCGGCCAGTATCAACACTGCGCCGCGGAGGGCACTGTCACACAGCGGGCCCACCGCTGCGCCCAGCGGATCCTCCCTATCCTGAGCCTGACGGCCACACATACTGTCATGGGCCGGGGTCAAACAAATACCCCTCCCCACCCGGTGACACGTGCCAACTACTAGCCAACGGTAGGCACTCTGCGTGCCAAGGTCGTAACGCGCCGTAAATAACCAGTATACACAGTCGGACAAAAAATAAACACGTACTCTGAAGCGTCCGTGACCCGGTTAATTGAACTTGATGCGTAAACGCATCGCAGAAATAAATAATTACATGCTAAAAATACGAATACCTGCCAAAATCTGCGTGATTAGCTGATTGGTTGGTTTTTATCCAATGGGTACAGGCCGTAGGTACTTGCTCAGATTTTCACGGACCCAGTCACACACGGCCGTCCCAAATAAACTAAGCCAGTACCTTGATGTAGGTGATGTTTTTGTAGAGCTCCGGATCCAGCGAGGGCAGCTCGTCCACCGAACAGTAGAGGTTCTTGTGCGAGTGGCCGAGTAGCTCAGAAAGGAAGAACGGCGCGAAAGGCACGTCCACCACGATACCCTGCCGCGCGAGCGATGAACGGGGTCAGAACGGCGGCAGGCGACGTCACACTGGCGAGAGGTAGTCACAGCAGCGGCAGGGGAACACGGGTCCCAGAGTTCCATCCATTCATTTAGTCCCCACAATCGTATCCTCTCCTCTGGAAGTCCACCAGAGCGGCCTCGCTCTCTCCACAGACTCCTCACTCCACAATGACAGTCTAGCCCTCTCCATCCAGACCCCCCCCCCATCTGCAGCGACCCCTCAGCGATGGCCCAGTATCCCACCTCGTAGACGGCCTTTCCGAGCATCTTTCCGACAAACTCGAGGAGCTGCAGGTGGTCGTGGTGAACGGACGAGGCCGGCGACGGGTACAGCCGCTGCTCGCTGGTCGTCTGGAACAGGCTCAGACTCGGGTCGAACACACGCCGGATCGTCTCCTCCAGAAACTCTGCGGAAATAACAACAGACACAGGTCCGGGAATGTGCACACTAGACCGAGAACAGTCCATGGACTGGCCGATAAGTGGTCAAATTATTTCCCAACTGCCTTTCGAGCTGCAATGGCTGGCGAAAGTAACTCGATAGCTGGACCAACATTCACAAGCTCTCATGGACCCTGCGAGCGTTTCGAGTTTCGACCCATCCAGTGCGGGTGCCCGCGCGGTGCTGCCGACCTTTGAACACGCCGTCCTGGTCGATGCCGGCCTCGTCCAGGCCTTGCTCGTTGATGAACTTGACGCGGACGATGCCTTTGAGCAGCTGCGGTGAGAGTGTCGCCAGCTGGCGGTAGCCGTCCTCTAGCAGGCGGGACCTGGCCGGCGGCGAGCCACGTGAGATGACGGTGAGGGCGTGAGTCGGAGGGGACGGACCGCGTGGGACACAAGTGGCGGACTGCGCGGGACACGGGTGACGGACTGCGTGACACAGTGTGAAACAAAGTTGGCGGACGGCCAGTTAGGTGGCCAGGAGTGTAGTCACTGGTTTATATGTGTAGCGAGTGACAAACAAAAGATGGACGGGACAAAAGTAATGGGGAACTGTGACCAGAAACTAGCTGATAGGATGGTGATTGGGTAGGAGGAAACAGGAAAACGAATAACACCTGAAGCAATTCTGCCAGTGAGCACTGACCACATCAAGAAGATAATGCAGTGAACGATACGATAACATGGATTGTGTAACATTAAAAACATTCATCATAGTGTGGTCGACTGGCGTGAAAACGTGTTCTGCTGCGGTGACTGTGACTGGACTCTGCGTCCGCCGCGTCACCCACCGGTGTATGGTGATCAGGGTCAGAGTACCCACCGGTGTATGGTGAGCAGGGTCAGAGTACCCACCTGTGTATGGTGAGCAGGGTCAGAGTAACCACCGGTGTATGGTGTATTGTGATCAGGGTCAGAGTACCCACCTGTGTATGGTGATCAGGGTCAGAGTACCCACCTGTGTATGGTAATCAGGGTGGACTGGGGCGAGGTGAAGGGCGACTCGGTCAGCCCCAGCGCCAGCCGCTCCTTGGACACCTCCTGGCGGAACAGGTAGACGCGCTCCTCGTGGTGGAGGACGTGCGGCACCTTCTGCAGCAGCAGCTGCCAACAACACCAGGCGACAGGTCACAGACGGGTAAAGGTACTGATATACATAGGCAGGGACTTCCGTCTTACATCAGCTGCGGCGGCGGCGGACCGGCCAGACGGTCACAGGCCGGGAAATCAGGCACCTACTCACGCAGGACTTTCGTCTTATACTACCTGCGGCAGTGTCCGATTGAAATTCCGCGACCCTGAACCGTGACTCCCTAACCCTCCTACTTTACTTCTCGATCATTATACAATCGCCCAAACGTTGAAAACCTAGCAATATACGTGCATTACCGGAACGATGGTGTGGCGACACCTCATTAGTTCCAATCAGACACGATCACAGCTGCAGCATACCATCCTAATGAGACCAGACGCATATCATCTTCTGGAAAACTCACCAGTGCCCACTTTTTGTTTTTCTCGACGTCATTGAGGAAGCTGATCTTGATCTCCCTGATGATCCAGTGGTTTTTGGGCGCGAACTGTCTGCGGCAGTCCCGCTTGTAGAGGAGCAGCAGCAGCGCGTGCAGAGACTGGAACAGGGAGCTGGTCGGCAGCGACTTAGCGTCTGTCCGGAGCACAGAAACCCCAGTCAGGTCACATGGCAGAAGCACAGACGAACAAACGTAAAATGCTAACGTAGAACCACAAGGTGTCAGGCAAACTCTGAAATATGCATATGAGTTTGTCGGACACACATTGGAGGCTGTCCGTACCGATAAGGTTGTTGCTGATGATTTTGTACACGAACGTGTTGAGGAAGCCCGATATCTGAACGTAGTCCTCCAACTTGAACAGCTTCTGCTCCTCGTACATCTCAATGTCGTCCAGGACACTGAAAACGGCGCAATGGGATGCAATATTACGATCGGTGATCCCTCTGGCTGATGGCTCTAGTCTCTATTTTCAAAAACATGGCAAATCTATCAGCGATGATAGACCACCAGTTTCCAAAGATCTATGAATCAGAAGAAAATAGTATATTTTGATACCACATTTGATAGATGGCCCCTTCACATCATAAGACAGCCGGTGCGCTCTAGCCCCATCGGCCGGCCTGGGGGCGAGATGCTCTGCAGCTCTGCGTCCCGTTCCCCGGCCCGGAGGCGGGGGGCACTCACACCACGTAGTTGGCCATGCAGTCGCAGAACATGGAGACGACGTGGAACTCGGGGGCGGCACTGCCGTCCGGAGAGCCGAGCAGGCCGACGAACTGCCGGAGGCCGCAGTCGGGGCCCAGGCCGCGCAGCAGCGACCACAGGTCGGGGAGCAGACTGCCGCCGTAACACAGACCTGCCGGGACGGACCACACCGCACTGTCAGCACAGCAGCGACCACAGGTCCCCTACTGTCAGTACAGCAGCGACCACAGGTCCCCTACTGTCCCCACACTGACAGTACAGCAGCGACCACAGGTCCCCACACTGTCAGTACTGTACAGCAGCGACCACAGGTCCCCTACCGTCAGTACAGCAGCGACCACAGGTCCCCTACTGTCAGTACAGCGGCGACCACAGGTCCCCATACTGCCGGTACAGCAGCGACCACAGGTCCCCCTACTGTCAGTACAGTACAGCAGCGACCACAGGTCCCACACTGCCGGTACAGCAGCGACCACAGGTCCCCCTACTGTCAGTACAGCAGCGACCACAGGTCCCCACACTGTCAGTACAGCAGCGACCACAGGCCCCCTACTGTCAGTACAGCAGCGACCACAGGCCCCCTTCTGTCAGTACAGCAGCGACCACAGGCCCCCTACTGTCAGTACAGCAGCGACCACAGGTCCGGGAGCAGGCTGCCGCCGTAACACAGACCTGCCGGGACGGACCACACCGCACTGTCAGTACAGCGGCGACCACAGAACCCACACTGTCAGTACAGCAGCGACCGCAGGTCCCCACACTGTCAGTACAGCAGTGACTACAGGTCCCCTACTGTCAGTACAGCAGCGACCACAGGTCCCACACTGTCAGTACAGCAGCGACCACAGGTCCCAACACTGTCAGTACAGCAGCGACCACAGGTCAGGGAGCAGGCTGCCGCCGTAACACAGACCTGGGGGACGCGTGGTGAGATGTTATCGAACTTGCCCCGTCCAGTTGAAATGTTCGACTGATTTCTACATAGTACCCCGGGCCCATTCGGTGGACGCCAGGTGTGGTATCCAATCCCCACACTGATCCCCCCGTCCACTCACTGGTGAGAGCTCCCCTTCCCCCATGTCCACTCGCTGGTGAGATCTCCCCCATGTCCACTCACTGGTTAGATCTCCCCCCATGTCCACTCACTGGTGAGATCTCCCCTCCCCCCATGTCCAGTGTCCACTCACTGGTGAGATCTCCCCCTCCCTCCCCCACTCACTGGTGAGATCTCTCCCCCTCCCTCCCCCACTCACTGGTGAGAGCTCCCCTCCCCGTCCACTCACTGGTGAGAGCTCCCCTCCCCCCCCACTCACTGGTGAGATCTCCCCCTCTCTCCCCCACTCACTGGTGAGTATGTCGGAGCGCAGCTGGGTGAGCGTCTGCAGCGCCGTCTGGTACAGGGAGCAGACGAGCGCCACGCGCGCGCACTCGGCGCTGCCCAGCCGGCGGGCGGCGGCCGCGCCGGGCCGGCCGCGCTCCAGGGCGCGGCGCAGCCAGCCGGCCAGCCGGCCGTCCGGCGGCGGCGGCTGGGCAGCTCCGGCCGGCGCCGGCGCCGGGGCCGGGGCGCGCTCCATGCCGGCGAACAGAGCCGCCGAGATGGGCCGGCTCCAGAGCAGCTGCAGCTGAGCGCGCACGGCCGGCAGCGCCTCAGTGAGCCGCGGGTCGAGCGGCTGACTGAACCAGCCCAGCACCGGGTGCCACTGGCTCAGGTTGGAGCGCTTGTTCTGCACGTACTTCTGCAGGCTCTCCAGCAGCCGCGTCAGCACCAGCTGCCGCAGTGTCCCAAAATTGAGTTTTGTCTTGGGTGTCAGAGGGGAAAATTACCCACCAAAAAGAGGGGAGAGAGAATGAAAAACTGCTGATTTGATTAGATCCAAAAAGAGTGAAAAACAACAAAAAGCATGCATTTGATTCTAAGGTGTAGGATGCTTGATGCTAAGCTGGGCATCCACACAACTGCTCTTTCTACAGGCAAAAAATCTAGATTTTCTTGGTTGGGAGTGGAAAATTGTTCTTAAAAATTGGTGGCGAGAGTGGAAAATGAATTTCATTTGGATGTCTTTACCCACCCAAATCGACAAATTTTGGGACATTGAGCTGCCGGAAGGAGACGGCGGGAGGTGACCTGGGAGTCTCAGACGAGAGGGATCGGGTGGCTGACAGGATAGTTATAGTAGGAAGTGAAACAGGACTAAACAACACGTCAAGTCCGTTTAAGTTGTAGTAAAAAAAAAATAAGTCGCGGTCGATCTCCACACGTATGAGCGAAATCCCTTGCTCTATACGTACGCTGAGGTCGGGGCAGAGCACGGAGGCCAGGGTGTCTGGCTCCTGCAGGTACGCCAGGTGGACCAGGTTGGCCAGCAGACACAGCGCGTAGTTGCCCTCCAGTGTGTTGAAGACGATCCGCAGCGCCTGCTGGTCCAGCAGGTGGGCCGTGCACTTGGCCAGCAGGCCGTGAGTGCTGATGGCCGACAGACACTGAAACACAGCGGACACGGGACAAGGACGGTTATAGCGGACACTGACAGCCTACTGATGGCCGACAGACACTGAAACACGGCGGGCCCGGCGGGACTTCAAAGACACCATCCCACTGGCCGAGCCACTCAGTGCCACTCAAACAGTTTATTAACTGACCCAGAAACAACTATAAATGCTATCTCTGCCTTCATAAGCACCTCTACCTTCCCTCTCCCACAGCCCTGTTCGTCTCCGTCTGCTGTCCGCCACCGCCCACCCACCTCCGGGGCCGTGCTCTGCAGGTGCGACACCAGGCCGGGCACGCTCAGCACGCTGATCAGGTAGGCGCTGACGTCATTGGCCGAGAACTGGGAGGCCACCAGCGGCCGCAGCGCCAGCGTCATACAGGCTGTGAGAGAGGCGTGCCGGAGCACCGGCCGCGAGCGGGCCAGACCGCGCACCAGCACCTCCTGGCGGCGGAGGGGGCTGGGTGTCAGAGCGGGCCGGGCCGCGCACCAGCACCTCCTGGCGGCGGAGGGGGCTGGGTGTCAGAGCGGGCGGATCGCGCACCAGCACCTCCTGGCGGCGGAGAGGGCTGAGTGTCAGAGCGGGCCAGCCCGCGCACCAGCACCTCCTGCCGAGGAAAAGGCAGGATGTTTGAGGAGGAGTAAACGGCAGACCAGCACGTCCTGAGGGTGGGGTGCAGAATGAATCATGAACACAGCCGTTCCATCAGTGAGCAGAGCAGAATCAGTAGCATATGCTCATTGACATGCATCGTAAGATTTTCAGTCACTTTCCGAAGCTTCGTGAATAATTTCCCTTAGCCAGGGTCCTAAAAACTCCAGCCGATCACCTAATGCAGCCTACCTTCAGCGTCCTCATGAGGTGCGCGGCGCTGGCGTGCTGCAGCAGGGCCAGGCACAGTTTGTCCATGACGGGCCTCAGCTTCTCGTGGCTGGGGTTAGTCAGCAGCCGCCAGCTGGACGTCGACGTGAACGTCAGCAGCATGTGCAGGTACAGCGTCACAGTCTGTGGGAGGGACACGGGTACAGCGTCACAGCCTGTGGGCGGGAGACGGGTACAGCGTCACAGTCTGTGGGAGACGGGTACAGCGTCACAGTCAGTGGGAGACGGTTACAGCGTCACAGTCTGTGGGAGACGGGTAAAGCGTCACCGTCTGTGGTGGGAGACAGGTACAGCGTCACAGCCTGTGGAAGGGGAAACAAGTACTTACAGCGTCACAGTCTGCTCGGAGAATACGACGCGGGTCAGTGCGGGAGAAAGGTTCGATGGCCCGGCGTAGCACCACACACTAGCCACAATCTGTTAACCAAAACCACTATGGCCCACCCACTGCCACCATTCACAGCTCCAGGCAGACCGCCCAGCCAGGGTCGGCTCCTACCGATCTCCGATCACGTCCCTGACCTCACCCTTCCAGTGCAACGGCCCACCCGCTCAAAAGTGTCAGAAACGAAACGGAGGTTCGCCTACCTTTGCCCTCTCCCCCGGTCGGTCTCTCCCTCCCTCCAGCTCCGTACCGGCGCGTCTCCGGCCGTCTCTGGGCGCAGCGTCTCCAGTCGGGTCAGACACTGTGCCAGGATCGTCCTCATCTGGCGGATCCAGCCGACCGCGTGCTGCGGGTTCAGCGCCACGGACGCGTAGCACAGTTTCAGCGAGTCCGAGGCCATGCTGTGCACCAGGTACCTGAGGACGAGACAGGCGGCGGCGGCCGGGCCGTGAGCGCCTCCCTTGGTGGGCGCAGATCAGGACGGCAAAGGCTGTGCTGCGTCCAGTGTTCTAAAATTGGATATTGGTTGGGTGTGCCGATGAAGAAAAAAATCTTAGGATGAAAAAAGAGAGTAAATAACTGCAGTATTTTTGCAAAATGGTGTAATACCAATTTTTATGCTAACTGATAAACCAGGATTTCATGTCAGGATCTTGACAGGGTGTGGAACAAAAGGATGTGGGTGCATCAACTGTCAAGTGACAAGTGAACTGGCTGTTGGGAATACATGAAACTCTTTTCAGAGATGAAGTAAAGTTGGTCATTCATATTTTAGAGATGAAAATATTTTCCCCATTAGGTGTGATTTGCCACCAAAAAGGCTGAAAAATGAAACACTGGCTGCGTCACAAAGCTTCTGTATGATCAGAATCGTGGTAACATAATCGTGTTCTAGAACATTAGTTTGCATGATTGCTGCGTTTAATCAATTATTCATTACTGTGATAGCAGCTTCAGAGCTAGTAACAAATGAGCTCATTACGCTATTTATCTCTCCGTCATTAAAACGTAACACCAGCTAATGAGCTGAATAAGTGGAAACAGAGCACTACCACGGTAAATCGATCACTGTTTTGCCCACAGATTTCTGATGGTGCACAGGCACACCAGACCGCCACTGCCACTGTATACCCAGGCTGGCTGCCACTTTGTCCGTTCATACTGACCTGGGTAGAGTGATCTGTCCGTTTTTACCGGAACTGACCCGCCATTGGTGCCGGCGGTGCTCGATACTGACCGGCAGATATGTCCGCGCCGCTGTCCGTTGGTGTCCGACCTTGTACCAGTAGTTACTGACCTGCAGATCTGTCCGAAGCGCTGTCCGTCGCGACCGCCGGTGATGACCAGGTAGTCCCTGACACAGCGGTACACCTCCTGAGCGGCGACCAGCGGCGGCGACTCCTCGGCGCCGGCCGCCGACTGCAGCACCGCCTCCAGCCGGCGGCTGCACGGGGGAGACACCGTCAGTGGAGGGGACACGGGGAAACACGGGGGTCAGTGGAGGGGACACGGGGAGACACGGGGGTCAGTGGACTGTGGAGGGGCCACGGGGAGACACGGGGGTCAGTGGAGGGGACACGGGGAGACACGGGGGTCAGTGGAGGGGACACGGGGAGACACGGGCCGTCAGTGGAGGGGACACGGGAGACACGGGCCGTTAGTGGAGGGGACACGGAGAGGAGACACGGACCGTCAGTGGAGGGAACACGGGAAGACACGGGCGTCAGTGGAGGGCACACGGGGAGACACGGGCCGTTAGTGGAGGGGACACGGGGAAACACGGGGGTCAGTGGAGGGGACACGGAGAGGAGACACGGAGTCAGTGGAGGGGACACGGAGAGGAGACACGGAGTCAGTGGAGGGGACACGGGGGTCAGTGGAGGGGACACGGGGGTCAGTGGAGGGGACACGGGGAGACACGGGGTCAGTGGAGGGGACACGGAGGAGACACAGGGGAGGAGAAGGGCCGTCAGAGCCGCAGACACTCAGCGGACAGGGAGCTACAGCCAGCCAGCAATGTGTAGAAAGGAGGTAAGCCATGGAGCCATCCAATTTAGAGAGACCAGCACACAGACAACGCAAAGCCGCTGTGGCGTGACGGCTCCTGATTACGGCCGATGGTAAAGGTCAGAACGGACGCCATCAATCTGCAGGTCGCCGCCGGGTCAGCCCCGTACGGCCCACAACGGCGTGACCGGCTCATCAGCCACCACTGGGTATCGACCGACCCTACTGGCCGCCCGGCCCCGCCGTGACCCCTGCCCAGTGCCCCGCCAGCTGCCCGGCCCCGCCGTGACCGCTGCCCCGCCAGCTGCCCAGCCCCACTGTGATCCCTGCCCCGCCAGCCGACCGGTCCCACTGTGATCCCTGCCCCGCCAGCCGACCGGTCCCACTGTGATCCCTGCCCCGCCAGCCGACCGGTCCCACCATGACCCCTGCCCCGCCAGATGCCCGGCCCCGTCGGGACCCGCTGCGCCGTTTTCACGTCCTGTCCCGCTGCTCCTTTTATCCCGGCTGTCCCGCCGGGATCCGCTGCTCCGTTTACAACCACTGTCCCGCCGGGATCCGCTGCTCCGTTTACAACCACTATCCCGTCGGTAGGTAACAGCAGCGTCGCCGGCTGACCGCCCCGATGTGCCCCACCGGCTGACCGTTCCCACCGGGACCCACTGGTGCCCGAGGTCCTCACGGCCCCCCCCCCGTGCCACTCACGTGACATCTCGACGGGCGCCGCGCCGCGCCAGGAAGCCCCTGACGAGTGCCTGCACACGGACGGCGGCGCGCTCACGGCGCTGCTGCATGTGGCGCTCCTCGCGCGCCGCCCGCGCCTGCTCCAGGAACGCATCCTTACTGGCATCTGGTTTCTGGAACATGCTGCTGCACTGCACAGTGGCTCACAGGACAGCGACTGTCATCTCTGGAAAAAAAAGGAGGATGGTATCTATGGTATCTGAATGGAAATTTTAATGAATAGCATGTCGAGAATCAAAATCAGATGGCACAATGAGATTTGTTAATGCTTCATGGTAATAAAGGGCACACATTTAATTGATTTTTGCATCAAAATACATTGTTGGTAATAGGTTTACTTTACTGTTAAAGCCCTCAGTATCTGGGATGTAAATTACATTCCTTACATCTTAAGTGGCAAAGTCTTATCTTGTTATATACAGGTATAAAACCAATCAATCTTACGGTACAGATTCCAACACTTTATTTCAAAATAGCTTCAGTCCAGTCCTAAACCTAGTGTCTGATTTTTTATCACAGCCCTAAGTAGGTAATTATAAATATAAGACAGTGACTCATTGATTGTGAAATGTATAATCAAGAGAATTTCAATAATTAAAGTTCCTAAATGCACAAAAATGTTATTCCATAAATCAGAGTCTAATTGTAGACAGGGTTAATAACAACCTTGGGCTCATAACTAAAGTTATAGGTAAGCCAAAAACAAATCCAGTATTTGTTTTTGGCCTACTTTAGTTATGAGCAAAAAGGTTATCATTAACTCTTTCTGTACCTTTAATGATATCATGCTAAAAAAACATCTGCATTTGTCTTTGATGATCACTTTAGCAGAGAACAATTGTAGGTTAACAGTAAAGTCAACATTGGTCTAGTGGACAAATAAAAATGAATGACAAGATCTAATCTCTTGTCCAGCCATTGCCCATTAGTAAATCCAAAAAGGCAGCATTGGCTGCTGGAAGGGTATCCATGAGGGAGTTAACAAAAAAGCTCAAAATCTATGAATTCTTCAGGTTTTCTTCCTCAAGCATCGCTCATGTTGCAAAACTCAAAACAAAGACTTTGCCACAAAAAGATCATGTTGGGGTTGAGTTGAGATGGGTGGCAACTTCAATGTTATATTTGCTGCTATATGACATGCAAGCAGCTCAGCTACCTATTACACAACCAAACAAATGTAATATTTTGAAGAAAAAAAATCCATGTGATTCATCATAAACCCCAACACCCATAGATGAACATCCTTTCCATGGCATTGGCAGCCGCCATCTTTAAAACAGGTGTAATACACTCTGTATTTCTTATTATTTCAGAGCATCCCACTTGATTCCATGCATTTCCCTCTGCCCCATCATACATTTTTGTGTGGAATTCCCCTTGGTGTGGAAAGTTCATGCGGAAAATGGGGCATCCGAATGGAGCCCAAGACTTGTAGGCAAAAAAGTTGGCATTCTCTTTTGAAAGTTAATTTTGATAAATGTCAGAATGCTACCACAGCCCAAACTGAAGGTGATGACCTATTGCTATGCTCACATTCAGGAACAGGATCTCCAGTGAAAGTGTGTCTTAGTACTTAAACCTTATAAGAGTGCTTGAAATAACAATAACATAGGTACCATGAAGTCAGACTTCGCCCGAAAAAAGGGCAATGGTTCCGAATCACGTGAATCAAAAACGTTTGTTTCAAAACTATCGTTTTACATAACGCAACGCGGATTGCAGATTGCACAGAGATTGCAGGGCCTGGCGCATATGTGCGCAAAAACGAGTTAATTTGAGAACAATGTTCAAAATACTACAATATAGCTGTTCTTTCCTTTTGCGTGCCGTACATCCACCAATGAGCTGCAGGAATTACTAATTCGAGCCGCTCACGATCCGTCTAAAGAACATAATAAGAAATGATATATTTAGCTCTTGATATGTTACATGTACTGCGGGCTAGAGACATTTCTGGTGTTTACAAGCAGGAATGGGATAAATCCTTTAGATCCATTATAGAGTTCAGTGGATAAATCTTGATTACAAATTTAGCTGCATAGCTCATATTCCATCATATTCAACAAATTGCGTAGATCGTTTAAAAGTCAAATTTACGCTGAACCAATTTTGCTTTTCTTTATGTTGTTTGCTACTGACGGCTCATTTTACCCCACTACCAGTATTTGTAGGTATTCATCCGTTTTATCATGAGGAAAGTGTTTGGCATCTGCAAGTGTTTTTACACTGAAAATATATTCCTAAAGGAATTCAATATACATATCACATACATCAACAAGACACAGTTTTTGAAAGATTATTCACCAATTTTGAAAGAACTAGGGTGCAAATGCCCTAAACATATTCCAGAACAGGTAAATCAATATTGATATGTAAATCAAAATGTAGAAGAGGATTTGTTTATAGAGTTGATAATTGGTAGATGTTGATAGAATTGCCTGACCTTGTTAGCTGACTTGGTGTTTTATGACTTAAGTTCTGTTTTGATGATACAGGACTTACAGAAGTATGGACCCTGAACAAGTTTGTATTGGTTTGGCAGGCTGAAATGTCACATTGCATTGTGTGGCTTCCCACCAACCTATCTATGCTGTTATTCAGTAGTGGTATGGTGCATTCATTCATTGATGTTTCAGATTGAGGAAGAAGTCACTCGCCGAAAGCAGCTGCAAGGCGATTCCGCATCCAGACATAAGCACATCATTCAACGCTATGTGCCAAAAAATCCATCTGTGTACAAATTACAAGTGAGTCAACATTATCGCATATTGACTGATTATTGCTGCATCAGAAAAAGGCAGAAAATGATACATCTGGCACTGCCGTCATTCTTTATCAGCACCATGAGTTCCTGTTTCATGGCACACTGCTTTACCACACTGCAGTACTCCAATTCTATTCTTTAGCTCCATCATCCAACCATACAAAATGGCCTGTCCTAGTCCTGACGGTATTTCTGTACATCATCCTCACTGCGTAACCCATCTGGTTGTGACCCGTCTCCATCAGCCGTAGGTATTACCGGCGCGGGCGGTCGTCGTCGTACCGTCTGACCCGTCCCGGTCTCCCCGTCAGCCGTACCGTCTTACCCGTCCCGGTCTCCCCGTCAGCCGTACCGTCTGACCCGTCCCGTCTCCCCGCCAGCCGTACTGTCTGACCCGTCCCGGTCTCCCCGTCAGCCGTACCGTCTGACCCGTCCCGTCTCCCCGTCAGCCGTACCGTCTGACCCGTCCCGTCTGACCCGTCCCGTTCCTCCGTCAGCCGTACCGTCTGACCCGTCCCGTCTCCCCGTCAGCCGTACTGCCTGCAGCCGGCGCTGCTGGAGCTGGTGACGCTGGCCCAGAGGCGCGACGTCACGGCCGCCCAGCTGTCGGCGCGGCTGCGCTGCCTGCCGCAGCGGGTGTTCGCGCTGCCGCTGTTCACGCGCGAGTTCTGCCGCCACCTGCTGGAGGAGCTGCGCCACTTCGAGGCCTCCGACATGCCCAAGGGACGGCCCAACACCATGAACAACCACGGGGTGCGTTTGAGCGCCGGCAGGGCTCCGACAATGGGGCATCGCTGCTCGATGCTCGGGTCTGAGGGAGGGGCTGCTGTCAGGTAGTGGTAGTGTAGTGACACTGCCCCTCATCAAAACTCAGCTACAATGTTTTCTTTTTTTACTGTCATTTAGAAAACCGAGTTCCGCATGCACATTTCTATCCACGTAAAGTTGACGTTGATGTTGCTAAATTTACTCTGTACCTTTGATTGCCGTTCCCTATTGTGGTGAGTCGACTGCCTGCGGCGTTCCTATACGCCGACTCGATGTCCACAGTTGCTGCTGGACGAGCTGGGCATGAACCCGGAGTTTTTCGACGTGCTGCGCGACGAGTACATCCGTCCGATCACGGCCGTGCTGTACCCAGAGTACGGTGGCGCCTCGCTCGACTCACACAGGGTGTTCGTGGTCAAGTACAAACTGGGCGAGGACGAGGACCTGGCCTGCCACTTCGACAACGCTGAGGTAGGTGTTCATCCATCACTGTGTGAACGATACACAACACAGGGGTCACGTAAACGCCAGTAATACGCGTATGCCGTATAGTCATTGGTCTTGAAACGGACATTGTACAGATGTGTATGAGTGGTTATTTGTGTGACTAGCGTCATCGCCCGTCCGAGATCCCTTCCACCTCTGCCCCGCCGGTCATCAGCCCCGCTGCCACCCCCCGCTGCGGTGGCCATATCTCCTGTGCCGCGGCCTCCCCGCGGTCTCACGGCCGTCGGCCGCTGTCGTCCGCGCAGCTGTCGCTGAACGTGGCGCTGAACGAGGGCTACGAGGGCGGTGAGCTGTACCTGAGCCACATGGCGGAGGGTCCGGCCACCGACGACCGGGTGGTGTACCGCCACCAGGTGGGAGTGGGCGCCCTCCACCGCGGACAGCACCTGCACGGCGCCATGCCCATCGAGGACGGCGAGCGGTGAGAGGGGAGAGAGGGAGGAGGAGATGGGCGGAGAGTGAGAGGAGCATTGAGGGGAACGGTGAGACGGAGCGAGGAAGAGGGGGATGAAAGAGTGGAAGAGGGAGATGAGGGAGGCTTAACAGTGAACATACTTAATTTACAGACATGCATTCTAATAAAGCTACATGGCTGCTGAATATTCTCTTTAACCTGCGATATTGTACATTTCTCGATCTATTTATGGGTTAGTACTTAAAATAGGCTTACCTTGCTGTTCAGTGTTCACAACTATGTAGTTATGCAAAAAGACTAATTGTGCGCACCTGTATTTTCTGAGTTCGCAATGTCTCATGATGTTGAGAATTGAGATTTCACCATGGGCGCTTTCCTGCAATATCAGCTTTAACTATGTTGTTTTGTTTTCTGTCGGACTCTAACGGTCGCCGCCCGTTGCGCCGTCAGGTACAACCTGATCATGTGGCTGCGGTCGTCCGAGGTGCGCAACCAGCGGTGCCCGATGTGTCGGCGCCGGCCCAACATCCTGCCCGTGACGTTCGGTACCGGCGACGGCTTCGTGCAGTTCACGGAGGACGTGTGCGCGGCGACCTGAGCGGGCGGGCCGGTGCCGCCGGAGGGGGCGGGGGCGGGGGCGGCTGAGTCACCGGAGCCGCCCCCGCCAGGTGTCGAGTGTTTGGTAAACTCACCCGGTCGTCAGTCGCCGCCGCCTGACTCAGCTGCGGCCGCGGATATAACCGCCGCCGCTGCGGAGTGAGCAGTGATGACCGAGTTATATCCGTATCGGATTAACCGTGACCGTGTGATGCGCGTTTTTGCGCTCAAATTTCGGAGCGTTGTGTGTACCTTGCTTTTAAAGCTCTACTGTTGTGATATCAGTGATATAAATCTATGAGCCATCACCTCTGTGTCGAAAATCATAGAACGTGCTTCAATTCATGCCTATTTTTTGTAGGACATCGAATGGGCAAATGGTGCTAAATATCTGCAAATATGCTATCAGTGAAATTGTTATAGTTGGAATTACATGAAAATAAAATGTCAATAAACTTTATATTGCTCAATGTTCTAATGTGAAGGTTATGGGTGTCGATTTCTGCTTCATCGAGTTGCGGTTGCCCGAGCACAACAAATCCGCCGCAGCTCGCGCCGTCTATTGGCGGCTCCAGAGCCAAGCCGGCTTGGATTGGGAGAGCTCGGGCACCCGCAACTCGACAGAAATCGACACCCATGGTGAAGGGTTGCATACAATGTCATATCAAGCATGGTTACGATCGCCCAAAACTACATTGATGCCCCGACAAGCTACCTTACCATACCAAAGTCAGCATGTAGAAGACAACACGAAGAAGACCTACATGAAGACCACATTTTCAGCATTAACATCTTTAACCGCTCGACGACCCCGCTAGCCCACCATTATACGGCAAAGAAAGTCCCGTGGCTGACTCAGCGACTGCCTTTCACCCGCGCGCCGTCTCCCCATCCAGCGTCGCCCGGCAGCCCGGTCCGGACACCCGCCCCATGAGACCGGCCTCCGACACGCGCCCTGTCAGCTGCGTGGGACGGGTGCCGTTCGCAGTCTGTTGGGGTGCGTGGGCCGGGTGCCGCTCGCAGTCCGTTCGGGTGCGTGGGCCGGGTGCCGTTCGCAGTCTGTTGGGGTGCGTGGGCCGGGTGCCGCCGGCCGCGGTCCTCGGCTCCGCCGGCCGGGCGCTGCTCGCCGCCGCGCCGCCGCCGCGGCGGCAGTGTGGCCGCTGACTCGGTGCGGGGAGGTGGTGTCGGGCGGACGGTGCGGACTGGTCGGAGCGCCGCTGACGGAGGCGGGCGGCGCGGCGCTGCTGACTGACGACTGAGGGCCCGGCAGCACAACCGCAGGTGAGGCGGCGAGGGGCGCGCAGTATGTGACCCGTCGTTTCAACACCCAGCGGGCGCCGCGGCTGTTCATTTCACCTGTCTGACCTATCGCACACCCGTCTGATCTAAGTCCCTCTGCTGGCCGCTCATGTGGACGTGTTGGACCGCAGGCGCTGGTGCCAGACGCAGGGAGCCGTTAGAACCCCGCCAGGTCCCATACGGTGGAGGTGGTCCAGCCAGCTACCTTTGTGGTCACTGCTTTCCTGCCTCTACACGTCAGTTTCTATTTTTTGGAGGACATTAAATGTGTTCCGGCAGCGCAGTGCGTTCGGTCGATAGCGGTACCGTATTGCGCACTATCACAAGAGGAGGAAGACTGCGCGGAGAAGTATGTAATCGCCATGTC